TAACAGAGCGCTCGGGCGGCTGCAGTATTTAAAGGGCCGGCCCGTCGCGGCCGGCCTTACAGGAATTTAGGGCGGCCGGGGGGGCAATTGCCTCCCTGCCCCCCGGCCCAGCCCGCCCCTGAACCCCTACCTCATATACCTGTCTCTTGCTCTCTCCTAAAGGGCAGTACTCTACTCTCTCCTCCAGCTCTGCTTCACTCCCACCTTATTTGACTGCTATTTCCTGTCCTAATGTGTTTTATACCCCACCTCCTATAGACTGTAAGCTCGTTTAAGCAGGGTCCTCTTCAACCTATTGTTCCTGTAAGTTTTCTTGTAATTGTCCTATTTATAGTTAAATACCCCTCTCATAATATTGTAAAGCGCTACGGAATCTGTGCTATATAAATGGCGATATTAATAATAAGATTGTTATTCGCTATCTCACCTTTTAAATTGTGATAGTCTAAAAGTATGTCCAGTAATGTCCTCATTTATATATCTTTCACAATGTGTTTTTTCACAGGAGATTCATTAATATCCCATCGCGACATGAAGTTCTCTACCAAAGACCAAGATAACGATATTTACTCTTTAAATTGTGCAGAATTGTTCAAGGGAGGCTGGTGGTATGATAAATGTCACTATGCAAACCTGAATGGTCTGTATCTGTTGGGGCAGCATGCAACCGGTGCAATTGGCATCAACTGGTATTATGGCAAGGGTTACTCCTACTCCTACAAGTACTCTGAAATGAAGATCCGACCATTGTAATGTCATGGGTGGCAGGTTTCATATTCTCTACCCACTAAAAGAGTTAATACAAACAACTGAGTACGTGTCCAGTCAGACTTCACTAGTTAGCTGGTAGGACCTTTTGTCTTGTCCCACTAGGAGTAGGAATTAGATATAGAGATATAGAGTAAAAAGCAATATTCCTGTAGCACACGGCAGACCCAGGTAAGTAGCCAAACTGTTTAAGGGACACTATAAGCACCCAGACCACTTCATCTCATTTAAGTGGTCTGGGTGCACTGTTCCTGTCCCCTTAACCCTGTAATGTAAAACATTGCAGGTTTAGAGAAACTGTTTGATTACATAGCAATGGTAGGACTGCCTTTAGTGACTGTCTACCAGACAGCCACTAGAGGCACTTCCTGCTGTTCGAAGGAGTTTAACTCCTCGGCGTTAATAGTGAAATAAAGCTTGGCGTCCTTATGC